AGTGAATCACTTAAATTATGTGATGGAAGCCCTGCTATAGATTCAACTCAATATTGACAAGTCCTTGGCTCCTTACAGTACTTGGCTCTCACCCGTCCAGATATCTCATTTGCCGTCAATAAGTTATCACAATTCATGCATTGACCATATACTACGCATTGGTCTGCGGACAAATGAATTTTTTGGTATCTTAAAGGGACTCTTAATCATAGCATTTTTCTTCGCAAAAATGCTTCACTCCATCTCCAAGCCTTTGTTGATGCTAATTGGGCAGGGAACTTTGATGATAGAACATCCACGTCAGGGTACATTGTCTTCCTTGGAGCTACTCCAATCAGTTGGAGTTCTAAAAAATAAAAGACGGTTGCACGATCTACAATTGAAGATGAATACTGTGCCATCGCCACCACCGCTGCTGAACTCAATTGGGTCACAAATTTGCTCAAGGAACTCAATGTCAACTCCATAGTTACTCCTACAATATATTGTGATAATATCGGAGCTACCTACTTATGTGCCAATCCAATGTTCCATTCCCGCATGAAACACATTGTCATCGACTTCCACTTCATGTCAGATCAAGTTGTCAGACATCAACTCCGTGTTTCTCACGTACATACGACTGATCAACTAGCAAACTCACTCGCAAAGCCTCTCGCTCGTAAACTATTTTCATCTCATCAGTCCAAGATCGACATCCTTGATGGAAGCTCAATCTTGTGGGGACATGATAAGCAGATAAGATTTTCTCAAGATAGTTGAGGAAATCTCTAAGCAATTAAGAAAATATAAAATTCTCCCTGTTGAACGTGTATAAATAGTTATCAAGAGTTCACTATCTTAATAAACTATACAATTACATTCCATACATTTTTATAGTTTCTTCTATAATTTATACGTTTCTATCTTCTTCCTTTAATTTTTTACGCTCGAGACGTGGCAAGATCCCTTCAGCCTTAAATTAGAAAGTCCCAATGTGAATCAGTGTTTAGTAGAGCGAATATAACCTAACACATTGTGTTGATGGACCCGTTCTGCAGCTGGATCACCGCCCACAGTGATAACCACGAGGGATTATAAAAACAAAATATATTTTGGAAAAAACAAATTCGGAGAATATTTGTTATGATTCACTTGTCGACATGAGGAATTAGTTTCATAACATTTTATCTTTTTCTATCCTGTTGACAACCACGTGTGACGCCCAATTGAGTTTTCCCTACGGTACATTCAATCTTCCGCGAATCTTAAAGCAAGACAGTTGCTTCGCTTTAAACAACCCCACCGTGGGCCACATAAATATGCGAGAGGGAGATGCTATGCTGCTTTGGGTGCGGGTGCGTGACACACGCAACTTTCTCGGGCCTCCCTTCGATTACTTATTATTCTCTTCCTTCTCTTTGCAGGGTTAACAAAAAGGCTCCAACGGTAGCATATCGGCAGAGAATGAAGCTCTCGAGAAAATATCAATTCTTCTCGCTTGGCTCGTCTGCAGAAAAGAGCGAGGCTGGCTTTTACCACCACCACCACCTCCTCCGCGGGGAGCCGCAAGAGTTATTAACACTGGTAGCTGTAAAAGAGAAACATCCGATCCTTGTTTTCAGGCGTCGCCCGAACCTGAGCAGAATCAACCCGACAGTCACGACCCGTGTTCTTTGTCCTTTCTTCATACCACTGCTGACCACTAGATTGGCGATAGCTCAGCTCAGGCTGGGGAATTTTCTTTCACAAGACCAGAAGATATATCCGTCGCTCCCGTGACTCCCTGTCTGAAGCCAACAAGGAAGATGGAATCGTCCTCATGATGTATGCATCTGTCCTCATGATGTATGTTGGTTTAAAGATTTATACTACTTAGAATACATGTTTTCTATTACATTCTTCTCTACTTATATTGGCAATGATTTGGATTCTTTGGTGGGAAGAGGACAATGAGCTTATTCAAAAGCAGTCTGCTGCATTATTGGTGGATCGTGCAACCGTTCTCTTCGTTGAACTGAAGACTTTTCCTCTATCATGGAATCAGGTAGCCATCTGTATTACCGACATGGCGTTTTTTCTTTCGGGAAAAGCAAATGGATTCCATGATCGTATTCTTTTCATCCACCAATAATTTATTTGAAGCGTTCTTTTCATGTTCTTGTTCTGGAAGAAAATATAAGACTCTCTCAATTATTTGTGCACTGTGGATCCACGAGGTCCGTTTCATGCTTTTAGTATCTTTTACTTGTTTGATTCACCTTATATTTCTTTCCAGTGTACCTTCTCTTATTTGTAGAGATGCAGGCCATCAGCAAGCACATGAGGTGGTGTTCTGTGAGCTCAATGCGCCCGTGAACACGAGAGAAGCTGCAGCGAAGCGAACAAAAGAGATCAGAGAGTGATGCGAAGACAGGTCGGAGACACAGTGAAGAAGATAATAAACAAAGAATATATATATATATATATATATATATATGAATGAACGAGGCTCGAAGAAGAGAAGGAAGAGGACAAGTGTAGCCACTTAACATGTGAGTGACCGTTCCCACCCCTATGGGGCAGCTGATCTATCCCTCGATCACGGGTTCCATAGGTAACTTTCTCACGTTGTGAAGAAGATGAACTCATGGTGAAATTTGATTATGTAGGATAGAATGAGACTTCACCTCACAGTTATATACAATTTTGTATGTCCATCACTCCCATATTTTGCAATTATGCAAGCAGTATTATTTGATTTACCACACATGCATACGTATATTATATATAATAGTATGAGAGGAAATATCCAAGACGAGAGTGAGTTAGTGTCATTAAATGCGCCCGCCCATGAAAACCCACCACCTTATCACCATCCCTCCCATCCCAACGCCACCTGGGGCCATGGCCACTCCCCACTCCCTCTTCCTCCTCTTCATCCTCCTCTTTTCCACCTCCAACGCCGCCGACCTCCGCATCTTCCACGCGGAGCGCCACTCCCCGACGCCTCTCGATTCAGTCCTTTCGCTCGCGCGCAACGACCTCACCCGCCTCGCCTTCCTCTCCCGGAAAGTCACCTCCGTCCCCGTCGCCTCCGGCCAGCAGGTGCTGCAGTCCTCCTCCTACGTCCTCCGCGCTAAGCTCGGCTCCCCCGGGCAGCTCCTCCTTCTCGCCCTCGACACCAGCGCCGATGCCGCCTGGACCTCCTGCTCCCCTTGCTCCACCTGCCCCTCCTCCTCCGCCCTCTTCCTCCCTGCTAACTCCTCCACCTACTCCCCCCTCCCCTGCTACTCCTCCTGGTGCCCCCAGTTCAAGGGCCAGTCCTGCGCCGCCGACTCCGCCCCTTCCCCATGCACCTACTACCAGCCCTACGGCGGCGACGCTGCCTTCACCGCCACTCTCTCGCAGGACTCCCTCACCCTCGCCTCCGACGTCATTCCCAACTACCTCTTCGGCTGCGTCACCGCCGTCAACGGCAGCTCGGCCAACCTGCCGAAGCAGGGCCTGCTAGGGTTGGGCCGAGGGCCCATGTCTCTCTTGGCTCAGACCGGCCCGCTTTACCAGGGCGTCTTCTCCTACTGCCTCCCCAGCTTCAAGTCCTACTACTTCTCGGGCTCGCTCCGGCTCGGCCCGTTAGGCCAGCCCAAGAACATCCGGTTCACCCCCCTGTTGAAGAACCCGCACCGGCCCTCGTTGTACTACGTGAACTTGACGGCTGTCCTGGTTGGACGGTTCGAGGTGCCGGTCCCGCCCGGCTCGTTCGCGTTCGACCCGGAGACCGGCGCCGGCACCGTGGTCGACTCGGGCACGGTGATCACCCGGTTCGTGACCCCAGTCTACGCCGCCATCCGCGACGAGTTCCGGCGCCAGGTGAACGCCTCCGGCGGCTACACCTCGCTGGGCGCCTTCGACACCTGCTTCAGCACCGACGAGGTGGCTTCGGTGCCGGCGGTGACGCTGCGCATGGAGGGCCTCGACCTGGTGCTGCGCGTGGAGAACACGCTGATCCACAGCAGCGCGACGCCGCTGGCCTGCCTCGCCATGGCCGCCGCGCCGGACAACGTCAACGCTGTGGTCAACGTCATCGCCAGCCTCCAGCAGCAGAACTTGAGGGTGGTGGTGGACGCGGCCAACGCCCGGGTGGGCTTCGCACGGGAGGTGTGCAATTGAAACCCCCATCTGACGTTGTTTTCAGTACGTTATGTTGTTGTTTTATGTTTAGTAGCAGAGTTTGCGGGCAGAAGCGGTGTGTGTCTGCTTCTCTGTTGCATGGGTCAAAAAAGGTGGTGTTTGGATGTGAATTGTCACGCGTTCTGTGTCCGGACGTGATTTGTGACTCCCTTTTGGTTTGTGGTCTATCACCGAGCTTACGAGACGCGAAGGGATTGGATGCTGAATCGAAAAATTAAATCCAATTGGAATCGATCCTGCATCAACTTGTTCAAGATTCGATCCGATTTATCGATAATTTAGTTTTAAGAATTATAAATACTTACGATTCTAAGGTATTATTTTTGTTTGATTTATCAATTCAAATTGATTTTTAATTAAAAAAATATTAATCTAATTAATTCTACTATTCTAAACATTTAATTGATTGAAACACATTAATCAAACGGATGATTCATCCTACTATAACATATCGATGATGAGTACATATTGATTCAATACAAATTGACATGAGATAGTATATCGGTATATCCTTATATATCATATATCTAGGTTTGACATTGTTGATATAAATCGATAGTTGATCGTAATATCGAAATGAATTGATAAGACGAATCATGGTTTAAATATTTTATTTAATAAATATTATCGTATACTATCAAATTAGATTAATTGATTATGAATTGATCCCATTACGTAAATTTGAATCGATTTTAATTTAAACTATCTTATTCTAATTAACCTAAATTAAAAAAAAATGATTTGATGACCCCTCGAACGTTTGATTCGAACCGATTTTGAACATACCCATCATCATTGATCCTGACATGATCAATTCATACAAACGGATACTATTTAGTAACATCCCATTCAACAAGAAAATACATTCACATGATATGCATATATATACATATAAGTCAGCTTAAAACATGACAATGTAAAAGAAGATAACTCTTTCCCCTTCAAAAGAGTTCAAATTATTTGAATTCCAATCTCACACCAACCCCCAAATCCAAACCGTCAGATCCATTTCATCCCCCGCACCATCGGACCCCTCCTCTCCTCTCTCCTTCTCTTTCCTTTCTCTTCCGCTCTCACACTCTCCTTTCCCTCTCTCCACTTCATCTTGTATTAGAAGCTCCACCACTGGTGAACCGCCACGCCCGCGTCCCTCAGCTTCCCGTAAAGCGCAAGGCACTCCCAATAGGCCCGCCGCCCGCCCCGCGTCTCCCCCTTCTTCGTGTCGTCGTCCTCCCACAATTGGTGGTCGCACTCCAGGAAGAGTTCATCGACGAGACCGATCGCGCCCTCCGCCACCGCCTCCTCCACCGCCGATGCCTCCGCCTTCACCACCACGTACTCCTCCTCCTTCACGTTCCTCTCCAGCCACTCCGCCAGCGACGGCGACGCCCCCTTCTCCGCCTCGTCTGTATCCTTATTTTCTTTCTCCATAACCTCCACCCGGATGACGTCGAAGGCGCGGCCCTTTCGCGGGTAGTTCTGCTCGAACCACGCCGCTCCGCTGCCCGCCTCTCCCGCCCCTGCGACCTCCACGAACACCCGCCGTGGGTACCCGTCCAGCTCGTCCCTCGTCAGCTCCGGCAGGTACCTGGCCCTCCGCTGCCAGCCCCGTCGCCCGGGTTCCGGTGGCTCCAGCAGGGCGCCTTCCAGCCCGCTCAGGGCTTCCTTCTTCGCCACCGGCATCGACAGCAGCCGCCGCAGCCTCAGCCCTCGGCCGTTCGCGAAGGACTTCCTCATCGCCAACACGGCAACGGAGCCGACTCGTCCGACGTAGGCCGTGCGGTAGTTCGCCGGCGGGGTAAAGGTTTCCGATGGATTGCGGCTCAATCGCACGGCAGCGACGCCGCCGATCTTGAGGATCCGGTCGATGTGTTCGAAATCGCCGGCGGAGGCGGAGAAGACGAAGTCAGCGGAGCCATCGGGCACCGCGGTGCTGCGATCGCCTGCGATCGGGTCGTTGAGGAAGACAGCGTTGTCCCCGGGGCGAAGCAGGCCGCGGCGGCTCAGATCGTGGAGGAGACTCGGGAGGAAGGTAGCATCGCCGTAGATGGCTCCCTGGCGTTCGGCAATCCCGCCGACGTCGCCGCCGCGGAAGAATATGTCGGCGTGGAGCCAGGGTAAGGACAAGATGACGGCGGCCAGGAGCACTGATCGGGCGACGAGGCGGAGTAGGCGGCGGTCCGGCAGGCGGATCACGAGGCGCCCGCCTCCGAATTCGACGGCGCCTCCAAAGCCGAGGCGCTGGATTACACCAGTCTTCTTCATCGTAGACATTTCCGGGAAGACGGACGCACCGAGAAGTAGGTTGCAGCGGCGAGAGAGAGAGAGAGAGAGAGAGAGAGAGAGGAGGAGGAGAGAGGAGGGAGGGAGGAGGAGAGGAGGAGGGGAGGGG